GATTATTACTAATTATTACAGATTGTTACTGATGATTATTACTAATTATTACAGATTATTACTGATGATTATTACAGATTATTACTGATTATTACTGATGATTATTACAGATTGTTACTAATTATTACAGATTATTATAGATTATTACTGATTATTATTACTCTTGGACAACACGCTCTGGAGAGAGAAAATATTGCGTGTCAATAAAGCCGATAAGCGGTCTGAAAGACGGTATCAATATGAATAAAATGAAACTAACTGGAGACATTATTATTATTATTATTATTATATTTTATTGATATTTCTTATTATATGACAGTAAAGGCTCAACAGTAGAGAACAACTGATGAACTACATTGAAACCAAAACGTGTGAAACAAGCGAGCTAATTATTACCTGTGAATATTGATCAGAGATTTCCTGATGTTTTTATTCATAACGAATCAACAGGCTGCTTTTTGTATAAATTCAGTGTTTTCCTCTCCCTGATACTTGGTGTACCTGCGTACTTTCGGGTGAGGCTAAATGAACCACAGTGACTCCTCTTCCTCTTCCTCTCTGTTTGTTGTCTTCAGCAGCAAGTTTCATAAAAATACCAACAAAAAACTCGATTCTGTCCTAACATCAGTCGCTTTTGGAGGAAGCTCGTTGTTAATGAAAACGATTAAAACCAACAATAAATATCCACGTGTTTGCGGCAGGGAGCGTCTGACCTCTGCCCCGGTACCTGCAGTACTATAGCAAGGTCTTCTCGATTTTAGGGTATGTAAGAAAAGTATATTATTATTATATAAAATGTATTATTATATTTCAGCCCCTGGTTCTGTGAAGAAAAGTATAATAAAACAATGAGAAGAAAACTCTGAATCTGTCAGTAAAGACGCCTATTGAACAGGAAATGATCTGATCATTTAAATCCACTGGTTTAAAAACTAAAGGGCTCCCTCCACTGTCTCCAAGTTTCAGAAGTTTTAGTATCGACTCTTGTGACAAGAATAAAGTAGAGCCTCATATGGCAGCAGAAGACTATTGATCCCCTGGAGAAGCAGATCTGTGTGAACGCTGGCGGCATTCAGGGTTCAGGACTTCCTGTCTCTGACTGAGACTAGCACTGTGTCTCCCAGCAAGCCTCTGTTCTTTTGTTTATAACAGAGCTATGTCAGTCTGCGCTGTAACGCTGCCCCCTGCTGGTCCAACCTGTGGCTGCAGTTTAAAGATCAATGATATGATCACATGTAAAATGAATCCGTATCAAAGTACAACCTCAGCATTGATCTTTATCCACCAGACTGATGTTACTGGACCTGAAGACTCACTACATCTTTCCCCTTTACTCGTGTCTCGTGTAGTTTAATGATGAAGGAACAACAGAGCAGAGGACAGACTGACTGTTGGTGGTTCATGTTACATTGCAGCCAACCTCTCCCGGTTCTCTACCTCTCCTCTTGGGGCAGATCTGGCTCAGAGTTCGCAGCTCTATAACCCCAGTGTGATTGTTTGTTTTGGTGTTGCAGGTAAACGTGTTGAAGCAACTACTCCAGGACCAGCAGGTGGCGCTGCAGTCACACCAACCTCTCTCCACCTGGTTCTGCTTTCTGTCCCTCTGTCTGTGTTCTTCAGCTCGAGAACGTGTTAGAACTTCAACTTCTTCTAGAAAATGCTGGAAAAAAGTTGAATTTCATGTAGGAAACAACCTCAAGGTGTTATTTTATTGTTGTTATTATTATTATTATTATTACGAATGAGTGTACAGTAAGATAATGAACCTTTATTTATTTCATCGAATTTAAATTTTCAGTGAGTATTCCCACCAATAGTCAACCTCACATTCCACATTCATTAGAGATCACTGCAGCCGTACGAGCCCAAAACAATCCAAACTGACTCATTTACTATCGATAAACGGATGGAAGTGATGCTGAAATAACGACACCATGATGGCAGTTTGTTAACCGGCTGAATTCAGACTTTGGTCGATCACTCAGACTCAATATTAGACTCATAATTTACAACTTCCTCTCTTCCTTTACTTCAAGTTCAAGTGTTCTTTAAAGACCGTGCAGGTTGTCTTCTTGCAGACAAACCAACAACTAACAAAGTCTGTCGTGATGTTGTTATTTCTGCATCATTTTGATCCGTTTATGGACATTAAATCACAGAAACATCTGATTATTTTAAGTATTTATGAAGTATAATTGGGGCCATTTCTTTACACATTCCCTTTTTTACAACAGAGCGATCAGTAAGAGCGTGTCTGTAAAACCCTAACGCCCCAGACAGTAACAATGTCATATTGAACACCAAAGATTAGTTTTGAACATTATAATAATCAATTAATTGTCTTAAAGACAAACACTGCACCTTAATTCTGTTTTTTGCTTTGACATATTGATTATTATAATGACACCGGTCCTCTGAAGGAGTTGTTGAGTGTTTGTTGTTTTATGCTAATGCATATTAAAGCATATTAAAGCTTTCTGCTCAAGTTTACACAAATATCACTAAAAATCAGCGCCTCCTCTACTTTCTGGATAAAAAACAAAACAAAATCCACATTTATTTAAAATGTGCCTTAAAAACCCATCATAATTTAAATAAAAGTGTCCCTTATGGTCTTCTGTAGAAACAACAGCTGCATCCAGCTGTATCCATTATTGTTGTGAAAGTCTTGGGAAATGAAGGATCTGCTGAGTGGATATTAAACTGTGTGTATTTTATATTTATTTATTATTTAATAGTTTTGTCAGTGGGAATTATTTGAAGTCAAACAGTGATTGTGATTATATTTAGTGACTGATCCTTTCATCATTCTCAGGACCAGCTCTTATTGATTATTTCCTCAGTTATAACGTCTCTGCTGTAAATGATCAGGCTGAAGTTTGTTTTTTATGAAATAAACAGTAGCACCTTTCTACCACAAGATGGAGCCACTCAATCACCTCATACAACACAGCACTGTTAGGACTAATACTGATACTGATATTGATACTGATTCTACTGCTGTAATATTGATACCACTGTTTATTCTGTTAGTACTGTTTCTAATAGTGTAGTGATGTAATGTTGTTATCACTCCTTATTGTTGCTGTTCCTACTGGAACCAGGACTGCTGTTAGTGCTCGCACTTCTAACTTACTATAACTTCTGCTGTTCCTATTAATGTGAATGTAAATATTATTTCCTCTACAGTTACAATACTGTAACTATAGTGATAACTGATGCTGCTGAACCTGTTGTTTCACTGCTACTACTATTAAAGGTTCTCCTGCTGTTAGTGCTGTTGTTAGTACTGCTGTAACTGTCACTGCACTGATGTTCCTCCTATAGTTACTACTACTTCACCTGAAACTATTACTGTAACAGTTTTATTGGCATTAATACAACTACTGATAATAACTGTTACTACTGCTGTTACTACCCTGACTACTACAGTACTCCACTGCTACTAACACTTTTACTACTTCCATCAGTCTATCAGTTACTGCTGCTGCTACAAATACAACTAATGCTGCTAATAATAGGACTATTACCAATCTGTTTTCTTGAAACAGTTTCAGTTCTGGGTGTGGAGCGTCTGAACGTCTGATGAAACCTGCTGTTTGTGGTTCATCACAATCACCCTGTCAAACAGGAAGTGAACAGAGTACTTCTCTCGCTGTGAAGTAAGACGCTGTGTCAGACGGGTTCCTGTACTGGATCACGGATCTGCTTCGGATGGTGTTCCTGGTGTTCCTGGTGTGCGCCGAGGCCGGGAACCCGATGGAGGTCCGGGTGGAACTGGGTCACAATGCCACACTGAACTGCTCACTGAAACAGTCAAGCATCTACTGGTACATGGAGGTACACAGTCAGTGCAGAGCCCTCATCACACGTACTTTTAGTAATAAAACTAATAACAGTTACTTTGTTTATACTACTTTTATAAGCAAATATATCGCGGTGGGAAACAGTCTTACGATTGTGAACGTCACAGCAGAGGACTGCCGGCTGTATTTCTGTGCCAGAAAACAAAATGACAGCTTTATATTTGAAGATACTTTCCACCTCGTCTCAGGTAAGAACTGCAGTTTATACCTCATTTATACTTTATTATCTGTATATTTATTATCGGTATTAAAGTAGACAGTTACATTATCAGGAAACAAAAAAATAACTTGTATTACGGTTACAGTAGTAAAGATGTAATCAGATTGCAGTTATATTTAGTAAAATTAGGATTTTTGTATCCTCTATTTCCAACAACGTGAACCCAGAACTGTTGAGTAAAGTTTTCTGTTGGAAATGTTCAGTCTGGGTCTCCCAACATTTACAAACTGACTTTTTAATAATTCATTCATTCAGTCATTCACTCATTAATAATCAGCTATACAGACAATATCAGAGTGGTTTTGCGGTTTATTGAGGATGCGGAATCCATTTCTGATTCTTTTAAACGTACAAAATGGACATTTAAACCAGATGTTGCCATATTTCAACTCCCAGTGGGCTCATTTTTATTAATGTTGAGTTGATTTTAAGGTTATTTATATGCTTAATACACTGACCATGCGATTTAGAATCAAGAACGCTTAATGTCATTGGTGTGAATGTTCAGACCTAATATTTCTTCACATTTTTGGCTTTTCTTTTGTTGCGCAGCATTTTATAATCAACCTGTCACAGAAATAACATCACAATCAACTGAAAATGTATCAAAATCAGCCCACTGTCAGTTGAAATATGGTCAGTTCTGGTTTAAACATCCATTCTTTATGTTTAGAAATGTCAGAAATGGATTCATCATCCCCAAAACCACCCCTATATTGTCCAAATCAGCCAAT